GTGTGCCTTGGCAGTAACCTGCTTAATACTTCGATAAAGTCACAAACTAACGTTTTTTGAATGCCCTTTAGTGCTGGGCAGGTTGTGTTTTTACAGTTAAACAGCTGCCTGTTGCGACCCAAATGACACAAAGAGCTGTGAGAGTAAAACCAAATAGTAAAATGGAGGGCCTCCAAACAAAAACATTGAGCTTAACAACCCTTTAAAGCTTTGTAGAGCTGAAAGGGAAACTGCCGAGTTGGGTGACAACTCGCCGACAAGATACATTTAATCATTATAAAACGAAAACTGCAGCAGTTTTCAAGTATCACTGATTCATAAGACTCAACTCAGAATGGCAATTTGCAGATTATCTTTAGTTTTTGTGACATTATTAAAATCAGAGAGCTTACCTTGCTGTTCATGTTCATTCCGGAGGAAGTCATCTTGCTGGTCTGCTGCTGCTGGTGGTACTGCTGCTGCTCTTGTACTGAACTGTACTCTACCTGGTTTAACCCTTTGCTTTTATACCTGACCGGCAGACTTAACCCTTTTGTCTAAACCCCCTGAGCCAGCAACAGAGCCATAGAAATGCAAAGAATATGGAGGGATTGTCCACATTTCCAGGGGCCAGGGAGCTTAGGAATCCTTTAAGCGGCCCTTTCATGTGAGGGCGTCACAAAAACATTGAAAGTGTTAACTATTTGGGCTAATACCTGGACATTGTAAAGTCATTGTGTCAGTTATACCATTTATAACTGTTGTTTTGATTTTTCCTGACACCTAGCTGTTTAGTTACTTAATTTTCTTGTAGTAAGTGCATTATTTGTTTGTCAACTTTTGTAAGTTGTATGATAAGGATGTCAAAGCATGGTATAATCATTGTATAAAAGTTGAACATGGCAAAAAAGAGAATAACGTCAAAAACATTGTAAACTGTAAACAAAATGTGTAAACATTTGTTATTCCATTACGCAAAAAAGTTATAATGACGTTGATTGTTTTACACCGATAATGTGTGAGTAAATGGAACAGAAGTAAGTAATGAGGTGATGTTAAAATATAAATAAACATATATATATATATATATAATGAAAGGGAAAACAAAATAAAATTGAATGAAAATGTATTAACAAAAATAAAGGATGTATTTTATTTTTATCATAAAGGCTAAACATTCAGTTTTAATATCGCTAATTCCGAAATGTATTCGTAATGTTTTAATTTTTTTTACAGGTTCTGGATATAGTTCATCTTATTTTATTAACCCACTCAATTCAACAATTTCCATCAGGAGACAAGCACCATTATGACATGAAGTCTGCTGTACCGGTAGATTTAAATAATGTAGGTGCACTGTGACTTCTTTCCAGTGGAGGGCGCTGTGGCGCGTGCTCTGCTGCTCTCTGCGGTGACTCTTGTCTTGGTAACAACAGTTGTTGTCAAACGTTGCTAAGGAAGCTACTCTTAAATAAGCCATACTGAATCCAAAAACTATACCACAGGTAATATAAGAGTTCAATAACTGTGCTGCATAATGTTAGAAACTATCAACACTTCCTGTCTATTAACGCGATCTTATAAACGTTTGCTTTCAACGTTAGCTCAGCTAGCCTTTATAATGCTTCTGTTATGCTAGGCTAGTTTAGGTTTAGCTGAAGGTAGCAGTGTAGTAGGTTTTCTGTTACTAAACTGGACTTGTTGGCTGGATTAATAGATAATATCAGAAATCACGGAGATTTTATGAGCGATTACATTGGAAAACAAGGGGGCTTTCGACTCAGTCTCGGACTCTAGCTAACTTTGCTAACATTAACATAACTACTTCACGGTGCTAGTATGTATTTAGTCAACTGGCCTAAGTTGCTTTACGCCAATGTTGAAGATCTAACTAACCGTAATGTTGCACGTCAACAATTGTTACCATTGTCTTTTATTGCAAATATCATAAGACAAACAGGTTATACAGCAAGCTTTCCTTGTATTGCTAACTATTTTTAAGGCAGCATCTCAATGAATAATTGTATTCTCTTTATGTTCAGCTGTATGTCAGATAGCAATGAGAGAGCTTCATCCTCCTGACCACAGCTGGTCTCAGACATGACGAGAGGATGACCGAAAATGGAGAGGACCGCCCCCTCCATCACCAAAATCCTGCTAACGGAGATTCAGCTGTCAATAGCAGGACCCTCAAGACCTCCTTAGTGGATGCCAAATCTAGCAAGGAACACAAAGATGCCCTTAAAATCAATGCTAACAATGCAGAGGGGGAGTTCAGTCCATACCAGCCTCGACCACCCCCACAACCCAGGCTGTCCAGCAAAAGTGTCTCAGTGGAGGAAACGCTGAGAACCAGGAGGTTGAAAAACAGCCAGGAGAGTCTGAGTGACCCGGTAGAGACTGGCTCCTCCTCAGACTCGCTTAAAGAGGATCTGACAGCTTCAGCACAAGGTGGGTTTGTTTTCAGGGAGGCTGCCACCACAAGGAATGACCAGGAATTCAATGTGAGACCCCTCTCTGCTGCTGCGTCAGGATCCCCTGTCTCCCGGGACAGAGGGAGCAGTCTCTCTGATCATGGGGGGAGGCCCCGCAGCCAGCAGAGCGACACGACAGACCTACGGGCCAGGCCCAGCAAGGTGCTTCTGTCCCCGGTGCAGCCCACGGGGAAGCTGCCTGCTCTGGAGAAAGGCTTTGCGTCAGCCACTTTAAAGGCAGCTAATAGGATTGACGGGGATTGTTTGGATTATGCTGTGTCGGCCAAAGAGAAACCCAGTGATAGACTCCACAGGAACCTGAGCGACAGCCGGCTTCTGGAGAACATGGGCTCTGATAGTGCCTCTGTCCACTCCATGAGGTCCAACTACAGCGTGCTGAGCCCCATCAGACCCCAGGATGTGAGGAACAGGTAGGCATATCATGACCATGTAAATGATGTCCTGGAGCCATCCACAGACTGCATGCAAAGGCTGTTTTGTAAGGCTTACTCTTTCCGGGGTTGGAAGGCTGTCTCTTTCAAGGGTTGATAAGGTCCTAATTTAGATATAGGGCTATCCATTCCAACAATAATGCAGTCTTGTAATGGCATATATGGCTTACTTTGTCAATAGTGTATCAGCCTGAGCTCTGGCAAGGCTTCAACTCCCTCATACCAAAAGGAAGTTACTCTGTACAGGCACTGCATACGTATAAGTTATAGTAACTTATATACACTGCAAGCCTCTGATTTGAGCTGATAAGCATTGCATTTGGAGCTTACTTCACTGAAACCAAGGCCCCAGGATTTTTTTTATTGTGTGCAAAACATTCCCATCTTTACGAAAAGAGGGGAAGGTGGAAGAGTGGTGGGGGAATAACATGAGATCAGAGGAGATGCTCGCTCAGTAAAGTTTTTGACAGAAGGAGCGGCAAAAATGGTTCGTAATTCTACAGTGTCAATTCACAACAGTGCCCAGGAGGAAATTGTGTTTTTACTTTTATTATTGAATCAACATCTGTGACAGCCTTTCCTTTTTTCAATGCTGCACACTTCAAGGCAAGTTGGCTGCCATTAAAAGTGTTGATTTAGCTTTTCAATGTGTATTTTGCAGAAGCTTTCTGGAGGGCAGCGTGCTGGGAAGCGGTGCCCTGCTCGGGGCTGAGGAGCTGGACCGCCACTTCCCCGACAGGAAAGTGGGCATCTACATAGCCACCTGGAACATGCAGGGAGAGAAGGTGGGAGGAAATCATGACTCAGCATCTCACAAACCAACAGGCATTTCAAGTCTTACTAATTGAGAAGTAACCACATTTCTAACGTGTTCAGGGGCTGCCAACCAACTTAGATGACCTCCTCCTCCCAACAGACTCTGAATTTGCACAAGACTTTTATATAATCGGGGTCCAGGAGGGCTGCCCTGACAGGTATCTGGTGTTTGTTAGACTTTAATCGTCGTCACATATTAAATGTTAGCTACTATTACTCTATTGTCAACTAACTCGGTTATACTTCTGTGTATGCGACAGGAGGGAGTGGGAGGTCCGTCTTCAGGAGACCCTGGGACCGTACTACGTCATGCTGTACGCAGCAGCACATGGTGTTTTGTATCTCACTGTATTTGTCAGAAGGGACCTCATCTGGTTCTGCTCAGGTAATAAACTCCTCCTATGTCAATCCATGCTTATGTAACTTAGGTTTAGTGCAAGTAATTTGAAGATGTTTTTGATTTTATAGTTCCTAAGCCACTTGACATATTGCTTTAAATAAGCATGTGAGCATCAAAAGCTATTTGATCATTATTGGCACAAAGAATCGACATGGTTTTGAGTTTGTATGTAACTGAATATACTGTTTTAGACACTGACTACAACATTTTGTCTTCCTGTTGACCCCCCAGAGGTGGAGCACGCCACAGTCACAACCAGGATCATCTCTCAGATCAAGACCAAAGGGGCTGTCGGAATCGCCTTCACCTTTTTTGGCACTTCTTTCCTTTTCATCACATCCCATTTTACCTGTGAGTACGAGGTCACCTAGTGTTACGTACTCTAGCAAGAGGCTATTGTTAATCATGGCTGCTGTAGATAGGATCAGTTTGAGATTTGTTCTTAAGTTTAGGAGGAATATTGCAGCATAGAGCCCAGGGTCATTTCATTCCAATATGAGTTGTTTTATTTCTTCATCATACTAGCAAAGTTATTATTGTGAACTGTCAACACATTCCGACAGGCATGTGTTAGTCATACACTCATCTTAACTGCCTTTACGCCTGCCCTTATTTTGCATATTTGTATTAAAACTTTGCAGAATTAACAGCTGAGCACTCTTATACGTTTTTAATTTCGGATGATGTTCTTGTTTCAGCTGGAGATTCCAAAGTTTACGAGAGAGTACTTGATTACAACAAGATCATCGAGGCCCTAGCTCTACCAAAAGGCCTTCCAGACACCAACCCATACCGCTCCACGTCATGTAAGACTCTTCTGTGAAAGTTTAAAACATTGTGACGGGGATGTATTTGAACCCTGAGCTGAACAACATGATCAAACTTTAACAGATAGCAATTAGAGGCAATAAGCCTCATATTCTGAGAGAGCCAAAGGAAGTATTTGTTTTGACAGTTTCCATCAAACTGTACAACTGACGCTGAGAATAACATCCTTATCATGCGTAATAGTTGTTTTCTAGTTTACTTGTTTTACTAAATGTAGTTTTATTGTTATCCTATGTTGCACTTGTGTTAGTATTACTTCTTATACTATTGGTACTTTTTACTCTATTGAGTCTACTGGTATTCTTATTTTAATATGATTTTTTTTAACTTCTGCAATTTCTGAAAGTCAGAATAAGGGTAAAATAACATATTTGTTCTCGTCAATCATCTATCTAAATGATTCAAAATTAAAATGTGTCAAGGGCTTCCTTCACTGGATTAATGGCAACTCAATATTATTTTGAAGCCTCAACCTATTCACCGGTATCCCACGTTTTAAATATTAGACTAGGATTAATTGTACCTGTGGGAACTAGATTTAAATGTCTAGACCTGATGGGTTGAAAAAATAGTTTTTTAGCTAATACAAACTATTTTTGGTTTTGTGTCCATGACTATCTGTTTCAAACCCAGCTGTAGTGCTCCTATTGAATGTAGAATATAAATAATTGTTGTCCATATACTTAAATATTTTGGATACAATTCTTGATGTTAGTAAGAAAAATGGCTGGATCTTTCATTATCATAGTATGTCATTTTTAATTGTAGCCGATGTCACCACAAGATTCGACCAGGTGTTCTGGTTTGGAGATTTTAACTTCCGGCTGAGTAAACCCCGGGCCGAAGTGGAGGCCATCATAAAGCGCACAGCGGGCGGAGATATGGGTCCTCTGCTGGAGCACGACCAGCTCTCCAGGGAGATGAAGGAGGGTATGATTGCATCTATGTGAGCATTAACATTTTGAAAACTCCTTTGGTTGTTGTCAATTCTCACTGTGCATATTTGTTTTTGTTCCCTCCTCCAGGTTCAATCTTTAAAGGTTTCCAGGAGGCACCTATACACTTCCTCCCCACATACAAGTTTAACGTTGGCTGTGATGTCTACGACACTACTTCTAAACAGAGAACGCCCTCATTCACAGTAAGAAAATAAGAAAATCAAGTCACTGAAATAAACCAAATATTCGGGATGAAAGCGCACATATGCTGCTCCAGTCGAAATGTGGTTTAGGTTGGCGTGTTCTGGCTCTCAGCGGGGCGACACTTCTCTGTTTGTGTTCACAGGACAGGATCGTGTTCAGGAGCAGGCAGGCTGATGATATCAGAGCCTTCAAGTACACCTGCTGCTCGGCCATCAAGACGTCCGACCATCGGCCCGTCATCGGCGTCTTCCAGGTCAAACTCAGGCCAGGCAGGGACAAGTGAGTCCCACTGCTCTCAAAAACAGCAGCAAATATAGTTATCATGGAGCTTCCAACTATGCATTGGTGGATGTCAACAACCATAAGAGCTGACCAATTTCAATTTGTTTGCTATCTTAATCATACCAGTACATATATTATACATTGTGCCAAGTTATAAACACTTCTGTTGATAAATCCTATGACACAAAGATGTTAGTAAGTTAGATTTGTATCACTTCTGTAATTGTACGATAATCTCAAAATAAAACGTTAGTTTAGCTTCCCGTTACTATCCAGTGAGTAAAACAAATTAAAAAAATATTTGATTCCTTCACTTTAATAAGACGATATCAAAGGAAGGTCTTGGCGTTATTGTGATATCACTTTGAGTTCACTATTTAATTAAAAGTGATCAAAAAGGATGACAACATAATTCATATAATTGCACTCCCACATCACCAGCTATAAGTTATCAGTATATTTAGTTGTAATATATAAAGAGGATATTATTGGTTTACTTAATGAAGCTACTGTACTCATTGTCCACAGTTGTTAATCCCATTGGTTTGGGCCAAACAGATCCTACCCATAACAGTGATGCAGTTAGAAAGTAAATAGTCTTAGTAGCTCGTAAAGTACTCTTCTAGTTAAAATTGTTTTTAAATCACAAATGAATATGTGGTCATTTTCAAATGTGTGGCAGCAATAACTGTAATCTTTAATCTTACTTAAATCAGGTGCGCTGGATTTGTTTATTTCTGTTTTTCAGTATTCCCCTGGGTGCGGGACAGTTTGACAGAGGCTTGTACTTGGAGGGCATCCGGAGGAGGATCAACAGAGAGCTGAAGAGGAGGGAGGCCATGAAAGGCGAAAGTACCAGCACCATCTGCACCATCTCCTGAACCCGTCCAAAACAAACTCTCCAGACCGGACCGCACTTGATCCATCTGTGCCTGAACCCGGAATCTAAATAAATGAGGGCAAAAGAAGGACCAAAAGGGAACCAGTTGTCTTAACTACACAGAGGAGTGCGCCCTCTGTTGGGCGTAAACGGGAACTCTGTGTGTGGAAGTGGAAGTGGCTGGCTGTTCTTGAGGGCAGGGACCTCGAGGTCAGTCACACTGCAGACACAGCAGCAGTCTGGCTCTTATTTATTCAGCCCCCTCTACTCAAACATGACTGAGACAGCATAGGGGCTGCCATTGTGTCATATTCTTCACTCGCATGCTCCAGTGTGAACTGATCCAACCTTTAAAGGCTCTCTAACTGCATTCACTTTCTAATGGTCTTTAGTGTAGGTGATCATAAACCACGAAGCCATTTTTTCCTGAATGCTTCATCAGTAGTAAATTGCCATGTGGATTTGTCGTCAAATAGCTTAACAAACATTATCTAATTTTGGTGGCACATAGAGGTGCACTGTTTAATGTAATTAAGGCGTCAGCCACTGGTCAATTTTAACTTGAATTATTTTCAGAGCTAAATGTTTTGTAGGAGAGTTGTGACTGAAGAAGGGAGGTTAACATTCCCAGACTGACATTAAACGCTGGTTTGTTACAACTTTTTACTGTTGAACTTCAGGGAGACCAAATGTATTTGGCAGCCTATATGTAACTTTCTGAAACAGGAACTCACATCTTTAAATAGATGATTGCACTGTTAATGCCTGTCACGTCTTTTTCTCGTATTAGGCCAAGTAACCCAATGCCTTACCTCTCATCTCACTGCAGTGTAACCTCATACTAACTGTCCATGTACTGTATGGAACACATTAATGAAATCGCATTCCCAGCAAGAATAAAGTGCCTGTGGGTCTTGTTTTTGTATCCTTAAGACCTCTTAACTTTATCTGCATATTTTTACACGTCACCCATGATGTAACATCCTGTAATAAACATTTTAAAACACTATTTGTTGGATTCATTCTGTCTACTGCATTGTAACCCAAGACTTTACAATATATACAGTGGGGCAAAAAAGTATTTAGTCAGCCACCAATTGTGCAAGTTCTCCCACTTAAAAGGCCTGTAATTCTCATCCTAGGTATACCTCAACTATGAGAGACAAAATGAGAAAAAAGAAAATCCAGAAAATCACATTGTCTGATATTTAAAGAATTAATTGGTAAATTCCTCGGTAAAATAAGTATTTGTTCACCTACAAACAAACAAGATTTCTGGCTCTCACAGACCTGTAACTTCTTCTTTAAGAGCCTCCTCTGTCCTCCACTTGTTAACTGTATTAATGGCACCTGTTTGAACTCGTTATCAGTATAAAAGACACCTGTCCACAACCTCAAACAGTCACACTCCAAACTCCCCTATGGCCAAGACCAAAGAGCTGTCAAAGGACACCAGAAACAAAGTTGTAGACCTGCACCAGGCTGGGAAGACTGAATCTGCAATAGGTAAGCAGCTTGGTGTGAAGAAATCAACTGTGGGAGCAATTATTAGAAAATGGAAGACATACAAGACCACTGATAATCTCCCTCGATCTGGGGCTCCACGCAAGATCTCACCCCGTGGGGTCAAAATGATCACAAGAACGGTGAGCAAAAATCCCAGAACCACACGGGGGGATCTAGTCAATGACCTGCAGAGAGCTGGGACCAAAGTAACAAAGGCTACCATCAGTAACACACTACGCCGCCAGGGACTCAAATCCTGCAGTGCCAGACGTGTCCCCCTGCTTAAGCCAATACATGTCCAGGCCCGTCTGAAGTTTGCTAGAGAGCATTTAGATGATCCAGAAGAGGATTGGGAGAATGTCATATGGTCAGATGAAACCAAAATAGAACTTTTTGGTAAAAACTCAACGAGACGTGTTTGGAGGAGAAAGAATGCTGAGTTGCATCCAAAGAACACCATACCTACTGTGAAACATGGGGGTGGAAACATCATGCTTTGGGGCTGTTTTTCTGCAAAGGGATCAGGACGACTGATCCGTGTAAAGGAAAGAATGAATGGGGCCATGTATAGTGAGATTTTGAGTGACAACCTCCTTCCATCAGCAAGGGCATTGAAGATGAAACGTGGCTGGGTCTTTCAGCATGACAATGATCCCAAACACACCGTCCGGGCAACAAAGGAGTGGCTTCGTAAGAAGCATTTCAAGGTCCTGGAGTGGCCTAGCCAGTCTCCAGATCTCAACCCCATAGAAAATCTTTGGAGGGAGTTGAAAGTCCGTGTTGCCCAGCGACAGCCCCAAAACATCACTGCTCTAGAGGAGATCTGCATGGAGGAATGGGCCAAAATACCAGCAACAGTGTGTGAAAACCTTGTGAAGACTTACAGAAAACGTTTGACCTCTGTATTTGCAAACAAAGGGTATATAACAAAGTATTAAGATGAACTTTTGTTATTGACCAAATACTTCTGGAATTCTTTTTCTCATTCTGTCTCTCATAGTTGAGGTATACCTAGGATGAAAATTACAAGCCTCTCATCTTTTTAAGTGGGAGAACTTGCACAATTGGTGGCTGACTAAATACTTTTTTGCCCCACTGTAGTTGTATTTGTGGAAGTAATAACATTTATTTACCAGTTGGTATGCAGGTGTTTCACATATTCACTTTAGTCAGAAGCCACTGATATATTTAAACAAAATACACATGGGTGTTAAATAAAAGTTGTTTTCATGTCTTATTGGGCTAATGGTATCCTCTTTAAAGGCTTACTCGCTTTAGTCTTAGACATAATGTACGGTACTTCCATATATTATAGTAGTACTGACCTTTCATTAAACTTCTTTAGAAACTATTCCTTTATACCGTTAATATAATTTATTTATTTTTTTATTTGCAATGGAATCAACACAACCACAAAAATAGAAAAAAATAACACGTTTCACTTTAGATTTAAATCTGTTTACAGCACATCTGAGAATTGCCTATAGTTGTCAGGTGTGTCACATTTAAACAAACATTTCAAAGTATGCCTTTATTAATCTGTTTACCATTTCTGCGTGCCTGGTAAGGGAGACCTCGAAGCTCTTTTGTACAAATCGAAAGATTTTCAACAGTTTTCTTATCAATACGCTCAATTTTAGAGAGTTGAGGGGTTTGCAAGCTGAGAAAAACCATAGCTAGATAAAATATCTGTTTAGACACTGCTGGGATGCTTCTGTTGACAATATGTTGTTTTAGTGTAGCGTTTTGGTATGTGGATTTTGAAATGGAATACCCCAGTAAATATGGCTTTCCTGCTCACAAACAATAAATACAGATACTCGCACTGTATGTAGATTACGGTAACCTTAGAGTAATATGTCACTTTTCTTTAAAATCACCTCTCTCAGAGGTTTCGGTGAAGAACCTGGGTATTAGTCCCCTCCTGTAGGGAGCTGTGTCAGTTCTGTGGTGGGAGGGAACACTACTGTAATCTTCCAGTCCAGTTTATTTACAGAGATGTCTGCCAGTGGCCGCCGGCTCGACGAGGACCTATCGGAAGAGGCGGTACATGCGGGGCAGACGTCCGTCTTTGCTGGACAGGGCGGCCTGGATGTGTTCGTATGAGGGGAGCTCCGTCAGGTCTCCCAGCGCTGCGACAGCCGGCTTACTGCGCAGCATCTTGGTGGTTACTCTCTTAATGTCACTGGCTGTCACGTTGCCTGGAAATTATATGTTCAAAAGTCAAAAACCAGAATGTTGAAATAAGACCATTTCTACTTATTTGTTCTCCAACAGAAGGACTTGATGCCATTTATGAACACTATGAATGTGGTACAGAACTCACTTATCAGATCACAGAGCTCATGTGGCAGCTTTCTCTTCCCTGTGGAGAGAACCTGGCGACCAACATCTTCAAAAATAACCGGCCGCGACTCGAGGTTCATCATCAGCATGGACTTGAGCTGAGTCTTAGCCCTCTCCAACTCCATCTGGAAAAACAGGAAGGAAAATGGTCCACAAATTGTATATCTTTGTTGTTTTTTCTTCTTATATTGCTGACTTTTTGGATTGCCTTGATAGTGAAGCACAGCCATTACCTCTCCTGCGCTGCCAGCCATCTGAATGAACTCTCTGGTTATTATCTCCACCATTTCCCGCACCTGGAGGCAAATGTATGTTACGATAAGACACAAGAAAGCCATGGGAACATTTCAAAAACAGACCATGTAACTAAGTCTAGGGAGGGATATCTCACACAGTTTTGACTTTTCTCTGCAAAATAATTATTGGTTAAAATAATAACAACAATTTATTTGTAAAGCATCCTTCATAAAGACATGCACCTTAAGGTACTTTACATAAAAACAAGAAACACATTGAGTTAAAAAGTAAACAGATAATGATACAGTTCTCAGCGTTGCTGAAAGCAAGTCATTTAAAAGATCAACAAATACAATTTTAACAAAGAACCGCACGTGAGACCAAACAGATATTCAAACCCTGCTGTTCTGGGCCTGTACCGACCTGTCGGGGGTCTGCACTGGCGTGGATACACAGCAGACCGCTGTCCTCATAGCTGTGGTGGTAGGCGGTGGCATTATACATCCAATGATGTCTAAAGCAGACAAGGAAAATAAGACAATTAGTGAAACGGACTGGTGTTCGAGTAGTGTTTTATATTTTATGAGATGCTGAATCAAGGTTTGGGAGAGCTTTACCTGTTGAGCACGTTCAGGTAAAGGCGGGTGAACATGCCTTTCCCAGGTCCTCCAGCTGAAAAGGAGCCACCTCCACCCATCATCATGTTGAGCACTGCGAAGGGGATGAAGTCGTCCTCCTGTTTAGAGAAAACAAACATTTCTTAGACATTTTTAAACTGGACTTTGTTGCCAACATATATAAGATGTTTTGTTGAGAATCTTCAGGATAGCCGTGCAATGCAAACACCCACCAGGAAGGAGCAGCTCTCCAGGCCGATCATGATGTGGGTCAGCTCTGGGATCGGGGTGGGTCCAAGGCTCACATCCGACATGTCCTTCTCCATCTAACAGATTAAAGGAAGATGTTATTCACATACCTTCATGACTAACTGCAACAAAGCTCATATCAGTATAACAAAATGTTCCTGATAAACGCATTCTGGCTTTCTTTTTCTGAAACACTGTGTAGTAACTGCTGTTTCACATTTCATATCATTTCTCAGTCGAGAAGTGGTTCCATTTAGTTAGATATCAAATTAACTGCAGACCATCTTGCTAGCCGAAAAAAGACAATTAGAGGATGTGACTTTAAAAAGTACATTGATGGTTAAATGCATTAAAAACACTTCTATGGTTGTCCTTCGGGTTTAAGGTCATGAGGTCCAGATCTTTATTTATTGTTCACCACTTCAAAACAGGAAAGCTAGTCAGATAAATGCTTTCAAGACGAGATTTGGGAATAAATCTGGTCGAAATTCAAAGAAAAAAGTGAATTCCTGCTCACACTTTTATCACATCGGCATTGACTTTTAGATTAACTATTACTAAATCATTGCAGAGTTGATAACAGCCTGTGAGGGAATTACTGGGGGATTTGGTTCCCTGCACCACAGAGGATGCAAAGCAAATTGAGTGCATGTTTCATTCTTTACATCAACTCTGGTAAAAAATGACTTGTAAACAATAAAACCATGAAATCACCTTGACGATGCCCCCAGTGTACTGCGCTACAGAGAGATCCACGTTAGCCCCTGCACTCGCCCCCCACACCGGCTTGGCGTCCAGCAGGTATTTCCGGGCACATTCCACAAGCTGCTCGTGCTCAATGCCGACTCCAGCCAGCACCATGCGCTCGGGGCAGTAGTAGTTACTCAGGTAACTGTGAAGCACCTTCTTGTCAATCGTGTCCACGGTGTCTGCAGGACAGAAGCGAGGCAGCCCGACTGTGTTGCCTCGATATGCGGCCTGGAAACGAAAAATAGACAATAAATCCAAAGCTACAGTAGGATTACAACAGGATATCTCTGACACGCTTCTGTTTCCAAGGTATGGAATTGTTTGTTTTCTTTCAGAGTTGATCTGTAATTTTGGAAAGCAGAAAATGACTATGATGTGGCTTTGGGGATTAGATAGTTTAAAAAGGTTTGAAATGATGCTGACATGATAATGGTTTGAGTGATAGTTAGTTATATTTAGTCAACTAGAATTACCTTTGTCCTATTAAACATTTGTGTGAGATTCCAACACAAAGCGCTTCAATTCTTGAGCTAATAACCCAACATGTGTTTTGGAAGATCCCAGTGACCTTGAACTTTGAACAAAAATATCTAATCAATTCATCATTGAGTCCAAGTGGAAATTTGTGTCAACTTTGATGAAATTTCCTCCATGCGATCCTCAAATATTGCCATATTGATATCCAGCTTGGGCTTCTGGTAACTTCTTGTGGGTAATATCACAATAACTAATCGCTTTATTATTATTAATATTACTATTGATAACAGCCTTGACGCTTAAAGTTCATACACTCGTTTGTTCACTTTCACAGCGAGATAGTGTTGTAAGGTCTTAACAGAACATGTGACTCACAGCGTGGATCATCTCAGTGAGTAAGGGTTCAGGGTCCGGCCTCATGTTCAGATCTTCTAACTCAAAGCGTACCGCCATTCTGGTCATCTCGATCTCCTCATCTGCATGTAAACAAACATTTAGGGTCTCAGACAGGCTGTGGAGAGATTTGCCACAGTTTCCATGGATTTCTCATTTGAAATAAGAGAGGACTTACCCAGCAAGCGAGGCTGCAGCACAGCGTCAGAGAGGAGACTGACCACTGTGTCCAAACCCTTCACTTCAGCAGACACTGCATATATGGTGGTATCCCTGCACAGCAAAAATGACACATAGAAAAGCTGCTAAACTTTCTCAAAACAGGATGTGGAAGGTAGTTCACAAACATTACATTTGATTAAACTGAGAAAGGCTTTGTCATGAGAGCCTAACTACCTTGATGTTTGGCAGTCGCATATTCCTCCGTGTTTTTCCAATGTGAGAAGAATTTCATCTTTACTTCCATACTGAGCTGTGGACTGAAAATAAAAAAACAAAATCACTTATTGTGGCTCTCCCCGTTTACAATTAAATATGTGTTCTTTACAGTTTTGTACTTACAGAAAAGGCGAGTTTTTCTACAAAGTGTGCTATCCCACTCGGGTACTTTGCTTCATGTCTGGATCCAGAATTTACTAAAACTAAAAATAGGAGAGAAAACAAAAATGTTATTTACTTTAACAAGATCTCCAAGTAGATTATGATATTGAAGCTATCACTGCTGCAACTTACTCCCAACTGTGCAGAATTGACCAAACTTGTTTTGGGAAGCGACTTTAAGGCCATTCTCTAGCACTGTGATCCTGGTCTCGTACGTCTCCTGACCATCCACAGATGCAAACACAGGCTTCGGGATCCCGGGCAGCGGTGCAGAGAGCGAGATGTTTGGGTATCGGCTGCCACTGCTGTACTTTCTGTAAGCTGCGATCCCAAACCTTTGAAAAAAGACAATGCAAGGTTTCTCATTTATTCTCCAAAAATGTGGCCCCCCACTTATTTAATTAGCTTATCCCTCCGATGTGTCATCCGTATGTACTTTGTAGTCATGTTTTTGATATGCTATCGATTCACTAATGTCAAACTAAATTCAGTTTCCATTTTATTAGGTAAACTTTTAAAACTACTATTACAACGGAATGGTTATTTTTGAACAAGCTGTTGAATTGGGTTGAGTTATATCAAGGGTTTCAACTATTTAGTATGCACCAATTGGTATAAATGTGGTGAAAAGATGATTAGACCCACTTGTTTGTAGTATAGATAGGCTCTAAACATAGTGGTACCTGATTATAACAACCTTCAAAAAAGGCAGGATTTTGTGTCATTTCATCTAACATAACATGATGATTAATTAAGATGTGTTGGTATTAATAATGCAAACATAGGTTTTACGTATCAACATTGTATAAAACAGTACATTATAATATGGTATCGGGTATGCCATTTAGCATGTTGTAAGAGGTGTGAGGTAGTAACTAAGTACAACATAATATATAATGCAACACTATAACATGGGATAGAACTGCTCTTATGATATTTCAATTATAAATCACTGTGCCGACAATGTTTTCAAACAATTGACGTCTTGTTTGGTTCGACCAAGAGTAAAAATACCCAGAATGGCTTAGTTATAATAATAAATGACAACGAAAAACATGGACTTATTCATTTGCTGTAAATTAAAGTTTAATACTTTGATAAATATGTTTTACTAGTTCTGTTTGAAGGATAACTGAACCGATTATCGATTATCAAAATAGTTGCAAATTATTTCCGTCGATCGACTAGTAGATTAAACTCTACAATAGGATCAAACCGCCAAATCTAATGCTATTTGCTAACAGATAATTACTATAGCTTAGCTTACACTTTAAACACTTTTATTCAAATATTTAACTCTATATCTCGTAAATTATTGTTAGTCTTACAAACTAAAAAAGATCAGTTAAACAACACAATGGCACATTCTTTATCTTTACTCCTAAATATTGGTGGTTTATATTATGATGTGACATTAGCATCCTGATGGCTGACAGCAGGACTACAGCTTGTTTGACGGCTAACAGTTAGCATCGTGCTAATCTTGGGGGTTCAGGACGTAGAAACGCTATGACGCTGCACATGACACGGCAGGTACTGCATGTAGCGGTGATGTGGTTTATCTGCGTTCAAGACATGTCTGGCAGAGCATTGCTTTAAAACATGTTCCTACCTTTGAACACGACTCCAGCCTCTACACCTCGACATGTGAGTCGCCATCTTGGATCCTCTGTGACCAGAAGGTAACCCGGATGATGATGAAAGTTTACTTCCGCTGGGGACACTCCTACAAATCCAACAAACTCCTACTGTAAACATATACTCTATGAAACAAATAACCCATCAAACTTGTTTACTTAATTTATTTGGATATACCTTTGTCGTATTTGTTTTATTAAACCAACACTGCTTTTGGTTAATCTTGAGGTTCAAACGAGTGGAAGATGGCGTTTGACTATAATTGTACTTTTGTTTTTGTTTCATGGAGGTTATTCCTCAATATTGGTCCATAACGTTTAAATTACCCGGTTTATCCTGGTTGCTTTTTTTTCTCAAGGACAAATCTAATGATAAATTACTCCTTGGTCGAAAAACATGTCTCTGTTAACCTTATTTTAACATTTAGTATTGTTTTATCTACACCTTTTTGTGCTGCAGTCTCCACCACACTTACAATTCAACAATTTTGCACACAAAAAAAAATCCCCTCCATTTCAGTGTAAACTGATGATACACAAATAAAACAGATAATTAAGTTATTAAGCTCTCCATGTTTAAAAGATACTCTCGGAAAGGGACCTTTGTGCTTTGTATCCTCTTTTTATTTGTTTTGTGCCATTAATGATTGGCTCATGTGTCTTGAGCAAAGTGTGCTCACTGAAAGTTGCTTACAGGACGAAGATTTATAAACCCTAAATCAACACTATCTTTGTAGCAAATGTCTTACAACAGTAAACCAGAGAATGGCAAGGTCATCCGATGGTCAGAGAACAGTTATCCATCCTTAAAGCCTGAGAAAATCTACATCAAAGATAATAATTACTATATATCTCAGTATATCAAATGTCAATGGGGTTAACTTCAAAGAAAACGCTTTTAATAACTACATTTAACTCTACTATCATACAGATTATTTTGGAGAAATGTGATGCTACATCTCCATTGGTGGATTTATGTGTTTGATGTTTTCCTGAATCCAACATTGTTACATTTCGCCTGCTGCATCAGTCTTTGTCCGCTTAATTAAAATGACCCTCCCTGCATAGATTATAAATCGGTGCATTTGTACTTTAATTTCCATTTGATTATGCTGAATGGATTGTCAATTTACATTTGCAAGGACTTCATCTGGCACTAGTTTATGCCTATGTGGCAGGACTACAGTGTTTTAGCTGCAACCATGTTTGTGTGTAAGTTAGACCGTCATTTGTTTTTATACTCTTCTCTGCTTTTAACCCAACGAGCTCGCATTATTTGAACAATGACTAAACTACATGTTTAATCATAAAACAATTGTGACTTTAATTTTAACCCATTGATAGTGCTAGGTGAAAATTCAGATCATCACCAAAGTTATTACAATTCATCCTATGAATGTGTGTAATGGTGTTGATGGATGAAAATTGAAAAATGAAAATTCAGGGGATCACCAAAATCAATATTATTCATCCTCCAGGGAGAAAGAGTTGTTTTTTCATGGTTTGGTCGCGACCCCTTAGTTTAAATTAGTGTAAATCCTGATTTATGTCAGACAAAAGTGTTGGCACTGTTTGGAAACCATGAAAGGAAAGCTATTTTCTGTTTCGAGCCATGTCTATTGAGAAAGGTTTTTTGTTGAAGTTCTTGATTGGCCACATGGGAACGCAGTAGCGTTGACAGGATGAACTTGATCTTCAGCTTGATACAAAATCCCTGCTTCCAAAATCTTGTGGAAAAAAGCAGTTTACAGTAATAATGATTGAATGAGAAGTTTAACAATTAATGAGTGATTTTCATTCCCCATACCCTTTCAACCATGAAGTGTGCATGCTAAGCTGCAGACACATATTATTTGTAGAAACAAATACAATTGCAACACAACTATCAACTAATAACATGCTGTGAACACGCAATCAGTGGTCTTTTGGCTTTATATTTTTACTGTATTGTTTTGCGAGGACAGTGCATTTTATACATTTTTGTTTGCTGCCTAAATGATGAGTGTACAGTGGCTTTCAAGCTTCATTACAGCTGTTTGCTTTGAAAGAGGACGCACATTGTGTTTGTGTGAGTGTGTGTTTTTGTTTGTGTATGAAGAAGGGGTGGATGTTGTCTAGCTGGCACATGCGTGCAGCTGTTGTCCTCTCCCAGCTGGAAGCTCTGTAAATGCAGAACAGAGGTTGTGCACAGACTTCAGACGGACAGAGACGAATGGGCTGAATGCAAAGCAACGCTCGAGCAATCCTTGGACACGTACAAAGTAAGTATCGTTACTCTCACCTGTATTTCAATGGAGTTGATAATAATGTGTTGTAAAATCTTGTTCAAACAGCATCAAATGTTTAGTTTTACATTTCTGACCTTGATTGTACCTTTTAAAGATCATTGATAAATGAGTGTACTGTAGTGTGTTGAAATTCTTATCAGATGCATTCATCTTGCATGATATGTATTTAAATATAAGCTTGTTTATTTGCTGGCTGCACCTTAGCAAATTTCAGTGCTAATTTCATAAATTGTTACATTCATTTAAAGATAAAGCAAATAGAAAAAAGTGTTCTTTAAAATCTCTATTAAAAAGGAGCATACGAGTCAGTGTGTCGGCTAAAGACGTTGTAATGATATGCTAAACAGTGTAAATGATCTGCGGTGTCAGACAAATACACACCCACAGGCTCTCAGCCTCATGTGAGTATAACCAGCCACAAGCAATTCATCAATGTGTTTAGTTCAACGGTGATGACTAATGTTCTAATGTGTGAAATCAAGGGGTTTTTGTTTTTTTCATTGGGTCAACACATTTCCTCATCTTTTTAATTATGTGTTCCTCTAAAAGCATACCATAATGCAATATGTAATGTGATAATATGTTTGAATGTAAACATCAATAGGGCTAATGTGATGCTATTGTGGTTATGATACAAATACAATCATACAATTCTAATGTAAAGGTGCCGTAGATGACATTGTCTCAAATAACATTGCGGATGTAAGCCATTTATTTGTTGATATCATAAAAACAATTGTGACTTTGTGTAACATCTAACAAATATCTATATTTAAGCTCGTAAGGCTACATTTAAGTTACATTACGACAACCAGATTTCAACTCCAAGTGACTTTCAGACATTAGTGAAAAACGAACCTTGAACCTTCTTCTCATGCAATTATTTAGTTGCACTGGACTGAAGATTTATTTCCATCATCTTTTTTTAGGTATTTTAGTTTATGCCCAACAATATGTGCACAATTTTAGAACTTCTTCTGATTTCTTTCTCCAAAATGTGGTTAAAAGTGTACTTTTTATAATAAAAAAATCAGCTAAACCTGTTAAACTGATGCATTTGAAAGCACACCAAATCCATTTTCCTTTATCTTTACACAATCTGTTTTGACCCCTTAATCATAAATGATCCACTTGATATCAAAAATTGTATTTGGCATATTTACCTTTAATTTTCCCTAATATTTTCTTACAAATTCAGCATTGCTTTATCAAAATGTATGGCATGTTCAAACAATGAAGGATCAGGCCTTACATGGCATTATTGAGGATCATGAAAGCCTATGTGATCAGACAGGTAGCTCTCCTTGCAGAGGGCCAATAACTGATCTTCATAGTACAAAGCTCCGCAGCCTCTTTTCATGTCACTTTCATTGAGTGGAGGGCCACAGTGCGAGCTCTATAAAGTGGCTGGGCCCATTCAAGGGACTAAAGAGGACAAAGCTGAGCTTGCTGCGGTGCAACAGACTCACAACCAAAATAGGAATTAAGCCAAAGGGAAAAAGAGGGACGGGGGATTTAAGAACTAGAGAGAAAGAGAGAGAGACATTTTAAATAAATCTGTTGAATTCATTTGCTAGAAGATGATCAAAAGTGATCTATGCAAACGGCATCTTCAGTGGTGTTGAAGGGCAGCTTTTGTGTAGGAAGTGGTAGTAGTGCAGTGAAAAATGTGAGATATCATATTAATGAAGAATATATCAATCCTATATTCCTATAACGCTGCTGACTTAAAATCGCTGTGTTGAAACTGTTGGAATATCTCCCCAGACTCAAATATGTTATGGTGGCTTCGTCTCATGCTATTATTAAATGTACATGACACTGTTTTTCACTTTTTTTAATAAGTATAATAATAAGTGTCCTTTAACATTTTACACTATGCATAAATAACAATTTATTTCTAAAACTATTAGCTTTTTCTGTCTAATTAAAATAACCTTTGGGGTAGATATTTAGCATGTTAAATACCTGATTAACGCTAGATCAAACGCCAGTCTACATCAAAATCCATGAAAGCAGAGTTTCAACAGAGTTCAAATGTAATACATCTACAATACGCCCCAGCTGACACCATGGATGAAGCTGTGTGGAGGTTTCCTCATGCCTCTCCGACAGATCTGCAGTAGGATGCAGATCTGTGTCTCCATCTGGACGCTCCCACAGATGACTTCCCACCTCTGCTTACTCATCCTGTCCAGCTTTGCTGTCTCATCTGAACTGGGTGAGTCTTTGTCCTTTTTTTAATTTTAAGACAATCCAACATCACACATTTATATGCTCATATGTTAACATTATTATTTATCCTGTGTGTTCCAGGTTTGGAGGATGTTTTCTTCAGTCCGCAGGTCCAGACGGTCAGAGAAGGAGTGGGAGTTTTCTTCCAGTGTGTGTCAGGAGAAAGTTCTCCTCCTGCCAGCATCACCTGGCTCAAAGACGGGGCGTTAGTCACAAAAGGGAGACACATTCAGGTGAGCACTGATTTGAAGAGCACCGAATAACACTTACCTGTAGTTTTATTGAACCTTCTGACCCAAATGTATCATAACTGTACATGTTTAGGGGGAATATGGAGGTGGTAATCAGAAGAAGACCTCAGGCACTCTGCATCTTTTCAACGTCACATTAGAGGATGAAGGGCTATACATTTGTGTAACGCACAATCCTTTACTGAACATCAGCAAGAAGAGCAAGCCGGCTCAACTAACTGTGCAGGGTGAGTCCTTTATATTTACATGTTTTAGTTTATACACATGTTCTACTAATGAACATATTTCTTCAAACTATTAGGAAGCCTGACAAATGATCTCTTCCCAAATTAAAGATTTGTATTCTATTTTTAAAAAGTATTTCATACAATCATTCAACCTTTATTTACTTGAGAAAGATCAAGAAGGGGGACCTTCATTTACAATGCCATAATGTCAATTACAAAAATGAAGATAAAAGGTTTAAGATACATTTTTTAAATGTCCAAATAGTACAAGTAAATCGATTTCACGGAGGTGCTGTATTCTGTTACAGGAGTAAGGCGTACGAAATTAAAAGCATTTTTTTTCGTGTTCAAGCTCGTGAAACATGAAGTAAGAGTGTGTCTGGTGTTGACGGAGCAATTCTGAACAGTTATACGGTATTCTTCCATATGAGTGTCAGATCTCTCTTGGACAGAAGACCATCCAACTCTATCACATACAATACAATGATGTGTACAAAAGAGATCACTGGTAATACATCTCATGACAGGGTGATTGACTGAGTCTCGATGTTTAAAGATGGAGAGGTTGTGTGCCTATAACAACCTTTTTCCTACAAACCAAACCATGGGCAGCATTTCCACACCTGGTGCTACATTAAATGAGATATTTGAATATATTATCTGTTATCTCAAAGCATTGTAACTCCACCTTGCAGGGGTCCCTAGAAGGCTGCAGTTCATCCACGGCCCAGACAGCATCACCGTTGTTATGGGAACAGAGGTCTCCATGCACTGCGCTGTCCGCGGCTTCCCTGTTCCCATGGTGCACTGGTTCAAAGACGGCTGCCTCCTGTCCAACTGCTCGTCCTCGTTCAGCCTGCAGAACAATGGACAGCTGCTCACATTCAGGTCCAGCACTGCACGGGACGAGAGGAATATTAATTCTTTATTGTGAAATTGTAATGATGAGAAAAGAACCATGCACTATAAAAATGTAGCATTGAGTTTTGCTCATGAATATGTTTAATATAAAACCTATAATTCCACACGGTATGGAGCTTTTGTACTGCTGACTGAATTTATTTCTGTGTTGTGTGCAGTAACGTGACCCGGGAGCACGAGGGCTCGTATCACTGTGAAGTGTCAAACCACAAAGAGACCATCAAGTCGCAGCCTGCCTTCCTGCTGACCGCCGGTACTGTGCACCACATCTGTAGTAAACTGTTTCATTTTAATTCACTATTTTTATTACGAGTGAATAATATTTACTGCTCGGACATGAACTGCTGTGTCAAGTAAAATAACAGTGTGGCTGATTTAACTTGTAGTTTCTATCTAAAACTACACTTAATTGTTCATCTGTTATCTGAGAATAAACATAATGTAAACATTTCTTGTATTAGCCTTGGTTTTTGTGTAGTAGCCAAGTAGAAAAAGAACACACATCTGAAACAATAAAAACACTACGTGGTTAAATGGTTTTACAGAAATATAAAGGTATCTATTATAGTATAATATATTCCATGTTGTTTTCAACTGTTTACTGATTGTTTTACCTATTTTACAATATGGCTCTTCTTAGACTCTTTTGTACAGTTATATCAAACAACAACTACTCACGAAACATGACTCTTGATGCCTTAGTTGTAACGGCGAGACAGGGATTAGTGCATATGCGGCAGGATTGAAACACTCATTTCAAAGTGACACACATGTTGTGTTTCTAGATATGGAATGGAGTTTCGTCCAGCAGCCTGTAAACCAGACGGTAAAGAGGGGAGAAAATGTTACAGTCACCTGCAGACCCCCATACAGCCGACCAGCAGCACAGGTGGCCTGGTTCAAAAACAGCCAGCTTCTCTCTCCTAAAGGCCATCAGACCATGCTGCCCAGTGGAGACCTCTTCTTCTACAGGTGTGTGTGTGTGTGTGTGTGTGTGTGTGTGTGTGTGTGTGTGTGTGTGTGTGTGTGTGTGTGTGTGTGTGTGTGTGTGTGTGTGTGTGTGTGTGTGTGTATCAGCTGTATGATATGAAAAAGCCAATTACAACCATAAGATTGTGTTTGCTTGCTCTCTGCAAACTTCGGAAAATCTGAGCTGAATATATATCTCTTTGTGTGTAACTAACTTACATCTTGGAGTTCTCACTGACTCACCGGGGTGATGTCCATGCTCATTGGTTACATGCACACAAATCATAACAAAACACAGGAAGGGGAAAACCTCAACAAAGTACAAAGGCATCTATAAGGAATGAATCCACCCTTCTGATTGGCTGCTGTTCTTTGAGCATACATGTGATTAATCATAAAACCCCCTTCTACCTTTCGGAAGTTGGATTCAGTTTCTTGATGAGTGTGTCTCGTTCATTTCAAACACTACCATTAAATTAAAAGATTCTTAAGTGTAACTCCGGGCCCAGATTCAGAGTTACAAACTGCAAGAAGGAACACATTAGCAGAGAAAAGAGCAATCTAAGCAGCTAATGAACAACTTGGCAGATTTACTGACTCACTGACCGACTAACCAGCCAGCAAACAGCCTGCAAGCGCAACCCGCAGAGAGACGTAATGACTGGAAGTGGAGCGACATTTAGACAAAGTGAGAAGAATTTTCTCTGAGAGCTTCCAGTTAGTTTCATTTCTGTGTAATAGCAGCAAACAAAACAGTCACACACACACACACACACACACACACACACACACACACACACACACACACACACACACACACACACACAACACACAC